GGGTAAGGAAGTGGAGGAGGAGTCAGGACTGGAGATCAGCGACGCTACCTCCAGAGAGTTTGCTCTGCCAAGCCATGTGTCGGCCGTGGCAATTACGCGTTCTGGCAACCCTCGCCCAGCATCGACCCGATCCAGCGTCGAGACGAGCCCCAGGCACTATTTCTAATCAGATCTGGAAACAAATCCAAGCCCGACATCTTCCTAAGTCTGTGCAGATCTCCCCTGTCGGGAGGTGCCCAAGAGCCGAGAAGAAACAAAGAAGCATCCCGCGCAGAGCTGCGCTCCACGTTGCGCAAACAACAACGACAAAAGACAATGTTATCTTGTCTCAGACTTCTTAGTCGTGTCGTTTGCTAAACGTCTGACTTGCATTTTGCCACGGGAGCGGTCAATTGGTAGCTTCACTCCGCTGTGACGGCTAGTCTCTTTGCAATGATGGCGAGGTCCATGCTGAGTTCCCGCGGACTCCATCAGCTACGTCAGCGCGTTCCACAAAAGGCCCATGGGGAGGCGGACCTTCGAAAACCGGGGACTTCTTCAACGTTCTCACGAAGTTCTTCCGGAGCCGGACGTTTAGCAGTGGATATCGTCATGCGTAGTACTCTGCCGTGTCACTACATGGCGCCGCAGTCTGTCCGCACAGCGTCCCCATGTCATGATTCAGCTTTCGAGGGTTAGTCTTCTGGGTTGGTTGGATAAGGCATCCGCGTCGTGTCGTCCGATAAGCAGCTTTGACAGCGGGTGCGGCGTTAGGCTTCGATCGCAGCTTCACGGATAGATACTCGGGCGTTCCAACAGGTTCTGACTGCCGGCAGTCATCGCCTGGTGTTGTCAGCGACGGTCGAACATGCTGGATCGCTACCCAGGCACCGCACCGCACGGTGATGGCTTTGCGGAAGCGCGCCCATCCGGAGTCTCATTCAACAATCGGCAGTTCAATGAGCTGGGATCAGCTTTCGACAATCTCGTGTCCATACTCTAATCTGACGGAATCCATCATCTGAAATCCATTAGTCCATGTCTTGTTCGGTGCGGGCCAGCAGTCAGGCACCCGGTTCTCCCACTCAACATAGTGACGCCAAGCCCTCCACTGAAACGAAAACTCACTCAGAAAATATTCCTGTCCACTCCATTCTTCTGAACCACCCACAATACAGCCCCTGAAAGTCTGCTTTGGATGCTCAGCGATAGCGCTGTGGAAAAAACAAGCAAATACGAGCGGAACGCCACAGCGAACGAAGGGAACGAATCCTTGTGGCGGCATGCAGTTTCCGTGTGTCAACGTCAGGCCACTTGGAGAACCAAGTCCGAGACGCGATCCCGCACCCACAAAGTCGCAGATTCGAAGCGAGGACCACTGGGGCGGAGCGGAGAGCGGAACGTGATAAAATGAAGAAGAGATGATGTTGCGATACCTGCCTCAGATCATTCTTGTCATCTGCTGGGCACAACTGGGCAGGGCCGACTCGCCACGTTGTTAGAGCTCCGACAACTGCTCCGTCTTGGAAACGACAAGACGGCACCCAAGGCCGACAGCCGGCGCATTCCATGTCGAACACCAGTTCGAGTCGAGCCGCCACACATAGCGGGCGTCGAGGCGGAGCGGAAAGCCCAGCGCCTCTCGTGGCGTTGAGTTTCGAGTCGCGCGAAAGGGGGTTTCATGCGGCACGAATCCACGACTCGCAAACATGTAATACTTGGGCACACATGTCAGCGCAGAAGATGTCTGAACAGTGTGCAGAGGCCTTGGGTTGGGCGCTGTCGTGCTTTTCTTCCAAGACTTGGTACCTAAGGCAGCTGCTCAACGCAGCGGGCAACAAGCAAGGAGCGTCAGGCACGTTCACAGCTGTGGTGTCAGAGCGCAGTCCCCGAGGTACCGAGACATCCATACGGGCACAATAAACTCAATCTTGGGTTCATCACAGGTACCCTCAGGTAGGTGCGTCCGCGGCGCAATCAAACGTCCCGGGGGTAAGCATGATGTCTCTACTTGGCCAGCAATAGAAAACCAACACCTAGTCAGCATCAAGCACGAAAAATGACAACAATAAGATTCCACCGTGGACTATATCAGAAGTCAGCTAAAGCAGGCAATGTCTGCTGCGAGGTCTATCGTAATATACGCGAGGTAAGGGAGGCACCTTTGAGCGCAACCAGAAGTCGCAAGCCCGTTACTAGTGTCCTCTTTCCTTCCAATCAAGAGTTTCTTCCTACGTCTTCGCTGAGTCTGTTTTTTCCATCTCATCAAGAGCTTCAGTCATGTTTGCGCGCATTTAGACACACTCACGCCACCTGCGGGCAAATCCGAGCCAACTCACAATGTCGCCGTTCTTTCCGGGCGAAATCGCCGACACGATTCGAGACTATCAGACTCAATCTGCTTCTTCACGATATCCACATCTATCGCCTACCCGAACATTCCACGTGGACATGGACAGCACATACCTCGCAATACATTCGGAGTTGCACGTGTGCAAGCACGCAGGGTCGAATGAAAGGTGTTGAGGGGACCCGAAACATCGCCGACCGACGCGCGTATGATTACTTGAGGAAAACAAGACGCTGACAAAACGGCCAGCAAAGCCGCGATCCGACCAAGAGCGCGCTCTGAGGACAGAGAGAGCTTTGGTGGATATGTAGGTTAGGTGCGTAATTTCATCCCGCGACGCAGTCAATTACACGACACATCTATCTTCACGTTTGGGCGTTGTCTTATCATCACGTTGCTACATCAGACATGCATCAGATGAATTCCACGATCAGGTTGTAGAGTGACGAATTCGCGAGACCATGTTGCCTTCATTCCACCAGCCAGGATGCGGTGGTAGGAAGAATGAGGTACTTATCAATAGAGTGAAAGACATCACATCACGTCAGCAGTGGAAGTCTAAGTATAGAATGGCTGTCATTGCTCTAGCTACAAATACAATTCGCTAGACGCTACCCTCAAAACGCCATGCTCCGGGGATCAAAGATTACTATGCCATGTTTGCAATCAAGAAGAGCAAGAATAAAAAGACAAAGCCCCCAGTGCCATTGGTTCGGCGCGTGGGAGCAGAGCTGCAGATGGCCCATGACCAAATCGCTCGAGGTAGAGTCATGACCAGACATACGACGTGGATGTCCTAACCGCCGTGACTCAAACGCCCTTGATAGCAACGGTGCGCTCGCTGTTCAGCTTGTCCGCATTCCGGTCGTGGCTCTCCTTCTTGCAGTCCTCGAGTCCGACGCACTTGTGGTCCTCGAGCATGCGATGACGGCTGCAGTGTCGGCCTTCGCAGAAGCCGCAGTCGCCGACGATGGGCTGGGCGCGGTCCTTGCAGTCCTTGAAGGAGCAGCGGACCTTCTTGGGGGGCATTCCGCCGCGCAGAGGGAGGGCGAGGTGGAGGGTGGAATTGGGCCCGATGGCGTAATCAGCCAGGGTGGTGTCGGGTGACGAGAGGTGCTTGCCGGCGTGGACGATGCGCAGGTCCGAGGGAGCGGAGAGGTTGGTGCGGAGGGCGAGGAGAGAGCGCAGCGTGCTTATGGATGTATTCGAAGGGATTGTGAGGGGAATTGCTGTGCACAGTGTTAGCCCTTGCCGTGACTTCATGATGCGCCTGGTTCCGAGCCTCGGAACGGTGGCGGCGACGACTTACTGTTGCTGCCGGATACCGTCTTGACGAAGATCTGCATCGTCTCCTCGGCTTCCGAGCTGGACGAGCTGATGCTGCTGATGCTGGACGAGCGGCGCATGGTGACGGTGTAGAGACGGTATAGAGAGGGTGGTGGAGGGAGTGGTCTGGGAGAGTCGTGAGGAAGCCCTGGGTGAGGCTGGGGTGCTCGGCGAGTTGTGATGACGCTGCGGCGCGGCGAGATAACGGCGATAGTCGACGGGGTAGAGAGCAGTGTGTACGAGAGGCGACAAGGTGCGTGGTATGACTAAGAGTGAATGGTTCAGCAGCAGCAGGTGTGGGTGACAGATGGAGATGAAGTAGGTGAAGGTGACGCAGACCGCTTCTTAAAGAAAGGCAGATGGAGCCCCATGCTGTCACTGGTGCCTCCACGGCTTGGTCCGACCGATGGCACTGCTAAACTGCACACGACTCGAGCCGATATGCGTTCGCAGCGCGTCTTTGCCTCCCCGATGCAGGGCGGCTGCCACTAGCCGAACTTCTTCCATGGTATTCCATATCCATCACCATCACCAACCTCTCCCCCTTCACCCGACCGCTGCTTTTGTCGCCAGTCTTGCCTTTGCCAGAACAACGTCGTCTCACGTGTCCGATCCCGTCGTGCATATACTCGCACCCCATCCCTCGCCCGAGTTGCCTTTTGCATGTGACACGTATCGCGCGTCCGCTCTGTCTGCCACTTGTGAAATGCAATCTAGATCGCGTCTCATGCATACCCTCGCTTGTTGCCGCTTTCAGACGTGTAACACGTGGACGACAGCGCCTGGCATTCTGCTGTGCCGGATGAGGCGTTGAGCCCGCCCTGCGCCAGTGTTTACGATTGGCCCTCGTCGTGGCGCGTGCATGACGACTATGCGCTGTGTGAGGCTGCACGACTATCGTCATAAAACAACGACACGCATCCTTGGTGTTGAGTATCGCCGCCTTGTGTCGATTGGATACGCTTCGTTACGACATATGCACAAGGCCTAATGCTCCGACTCGCTGCGGCCCTGCCGTTGATCATCTGGAGTCATGCAATCATCCGCCCATCATCTATCGTCTGTGCGACGTCCGCTTGGATCGGTGCGCGGTCTCAACCTTGGTACTGGAGACACGTCCATCGATTTGTACGCCTGCATGGTCAAACACGTCCAAACATGGGCTTTCCCCGCTCATACGTTATTTCCGTCATGTCACAGCATCGCCGTTGCTTCTAGAAGCGTTTCACAATCTTCTGCACCGCTTTAGAGTTTGTACTTGTGTACCTTAGGTTGTTCGGCGTGGCAAGTGCCGCCATGCACCAATATCAATACGCTACTAATATACACCGCTTCCAACACCCGCCTACAACATACTCTTGGGGAAGTCCTTCATCGCCTGCCGTACGCCCAAGTCGCTAAGAATCTCCTCGGTGCCTCCCAGAATAGCATCAAACTTATATGTGCGGTGGAACTGCTCAATCACCCGGCCCATACCACCTTGCGTAATTCCGCGACCTCCGAAGATGTTGACGGCTTCATCTGCGATCTCGTGTGCAGAGCGGGTGGCGTATGACTTGAGCAGACCGATAGGTCCACCGAGCAGCTTCGATTGCTGGGCGTACGACATGTGCGTCATCTGGTAGGCGATAGATTCTAGCCATGCTTGGTTGGCCTCGACATGTGAGATCATCTTTGCAAGCCTGGAGTATTGTCAGTAACGTCCAATCGGATTTAACTCCTGCGGTGCAAGCAAGGTAAGGTGGTGAGGTCTCATCCGACGGATGCACCAGTGGGACAAGAAGGCTATCTTTGGAGGCAATACTCACTTCTGGCGAATAGTGGGTTGCTCTATCAGCTTCTTGCCAAAGACAATCCGCTGGTTGCACCACTTGAGACACTCCTCGACAACGGTTCGCGATTGTCGGATGACGGCGCATGCCATCATAAACCTCTCGTGATTGAAGTTGGACATGATGACAACGAAGCCCTGGTGCTCTTTGCCCAACAGGTGGTCTACTGGTACCTTCACATCGTTGAACTCTACGTATGCGGTGCCGGCGGTGGTGGAGTAGCTCGTTTTGATTAGCTTGGTCTCGACGGCCTCGTCACGCTCAATGAGCAGGACGGAGAAGCCCTTGTCCGTCTTGCAGCCTGTGACGAAGTAGTCGCTGAACATTCCGTTGGTGATCCACTTCTTTGTGCCTCGTACGATGTAGTGCTTGCCGTCTGGTGTCAAGGTCGCAGTGGTCCTGATGCCGGCGACATCTGATCCCGCAAAAGCCTCGGTGATGGCTAGGCACATCTTCTTCTTGCCACTCAGCACCTCGTTGACCACGCGCGTCTTCAGCTCGGATTCAGGCATCCACTGCAAAACGGCTGTCAAGCTGATGGTCATGCCTGCCATGTTGCCGTCTTGGAAGCCACGCGCGTTTGCGCGCACACCTTCCTGCGCTTGGATAAGGTCATGGAGATAGTCAAACTCCTCGCCCTTGACGACACCCATCAGGTTCTTGCCGTGGAGATGCTTTCCAGGCCCAAGGCGCATGGCCAGCATATCGTTCGCGGCCATCTTGTCGATCAGCTCCTGGCTGATGTATGTACCATCCTTCTCCTTTTGTTGCGCCTCAGGCGTAACGTGTGTGTCGACGAACTTGCGGACCTCCTTCTGCAGTGCGCGGTGGCTCTCCTTGAAGTAGGGACTCTTGAACTGCGGTCGCAGCCACAATGGCTCCGCGTATGGCACTGGGCTCAGGTCGCCAGGCTTTCCGACAATCACCTCGGACTTCTCGCCCTCGATGGTGCCGATGCATAGCTCCTGGTACTTGTCCAGAACCTCCTGTCGGTGTAGGTTGTAGAACGCCGTCGTCGCATCTTGGCCGGCTACTTGCTCGAGCACGACGGAGCCGCCAGGGTGAGCATCGACGAATTCGCTGAGGTCGTAGACTTTGTGGTCGATGATGCACCAGAGGTCTTCGGGCGTGTTGTGCGAAGCGACCGAATCGCGGGTGAGGGAGGCGTGAGGCATGTCGATAGTGTGTGGGAAGGAGGCGACGGGTGGTGGAGGAAGGCACAACCTGATGCGTGGCAAGAGGAGGTTTAAAGAGCCTTAGGATGAAAGGAGAGCGAACAGCAGACGCGACTACATTATGGGTCTCTAGACGTTTGGCCTCGGTCTACGAGATGAGCTAGCCCTCTCCGCGCAGCGCTCCGTCTTTGTGTGGAGCAAGACCACCTGCCTGCAGACAACGTCTGGGGAAGATGCCGAGGCAGACCGTAATCGCCTCTCCAACGCCGCCCATTGGTCGTAGGATTCTTGCGGCAGTCCAGCGGCAACCACACTTCCTCTGTTCTCTCTACCTGCACCTTTGTTTCTTAGTTTTCGTCCATGCGACACGCCACCGACTGTGCTTTCAAATTCAGCTGATCACAGCCAAAATGTTTGGTCAGACATCCGGAAGCTCGATTGTCCAGCACAGTTTTCATACGCATCCATCCATCGACATTGTGCAACGCACCGAGGAACACTGTATCGTTACTTAAGTACCTCTATCTCGCCAAGGTGTCAAGTGATTCTCCGATTGCAAATGTATAGTAATGTATAGTAAACGTCGAGACCTCGGTGGAGCTTAACATGGCTGTGCGAATACTAGTCGCCTCTGGAACCTGTTAGTCAGTTGATCACTGCCACTAGATCGGTCATCGTGCCATCTTCCGAGACGCGATACGTGGGCCTCTGTATGTACTTTCATCTTCGTCTTGTTTTGCGATCTGGTTCTGGCAGAACAGGTATCACCGTTTCTTCATCGCAGCAAAACACTATCTGCACGACGACTTCACCGTTCACTTTGCGTACTGTGACAGCTTCTGTGGAATTTCCCGACCTATATATACTTGGACTTACTAGGCGGGTGCAAAGATGATCATAGACATCGGAGGTTGGGCCTTTTTGGAGGGCCTTCATGGCATTCCCCAGTATTGAGACATTTCTGTATCCCTATCAAACGCTTGCATTACCCCCAGCACCGCGTTATACCGTTAAGAACATACCTTCGAACGGAGGAAGTAGTTTTGAGGCGCAGCCGCGTTGCTCACAAGCATGTTGGCATGCCACCAGATCTCTGGTTGCAGAAGAGGTGGAATGGAATATTGCAAAAACCAGGTTGTTAGTAAGGTCAACACATCGTCCTGATCACTGCTGTTCTGGCACAACTCGCAGAGGTGCCAACAGTGAGATCGTTTGCGATAGGATATGCAAAGCACACACATCCAATGATTTCCCTTGGGAGCATTCAACAGAAATAACCAGGTCTCTTGCACTGTATCATATCATCAGCTCCAAAGTCCGCAAAGTGTCTTATATATCCGAACCAGTTGTACAAGGCAAGGATGAATGTTTTGACGGATAACGTTAAAGGTTGCTATCAGAGTCCAGAGATAAGTTAGTAGTAAATACATATTCCCCCGTCGACAAGCTCCCCAAATCCCACGCATCTCCAAGTTCCTCTCACCATGTTGTTTACCCAGCAGATCATCGCCCTAAGAAAATTAGTGTTGGTGAAAGCAAACTCCTCCGCGTCGTGCCCCTCACTCCTCACACTTCTCAACGAAAAAAAATGTTTGCCCCTCCACCCCTCCTTCAACATCACCCCGCCATGCCCCTCGTTTGCTTCCCTCGTTTGACCTTCTGCCCTCTGCCCCTCCAATAGTGCCGTAATCGACAACGCCCTGCTCAACTTGCCCAATGTGGCAACGTCCCGCTGTCGCTCCCGACGCTGCGCGAGTGAGGGGCGCCATTTTGCCATTTCTGCCTCATACACACGTCCGATCGCTTTACTGTCATCGCAGACTTAATATCCTTGCGATTGTCTTGACTAGAAGCTGTCGTGTGTCGAAATCGCGATAGCCGTTGTGCGATCCCGCCCCAACGCATCTCTAAGTTTGTTTCGATTCACACATTGCATAGAAATTTTCGAACCGAGCAGAGTACACAACAACTGAGGAAGCCAGCTCTGTATTTTGCGAGTCTTCTCTCACGTATGCCTGTGCCTAGATGATGACTTAGACACGTTCAAAGGGCAAGTGCATTTATCGACATGGCCATGAGAAGTATAATATTCGGGTATCTCTCGTGTTCATACTGCCGACAAACAAATATGTCTAAACGTCTATAGCAGCTCCTGCACATCGTCTGACCGCCTTGGTAGTAATCTATAGTCATATGCGGATTGGCTATCGTCATCTCAGCCCTCGAGCTTTGCCAGCGCCTTCCTCAGTTCATCCTCCCTTTTTCCCAATACAGGCAAACCTCTTTCTACACAAGCCCTCTGGAGTTCCTCCTTCCCGAGAGCTGTCCATCCGCCGTCGCGCTCAATCAGCTTATCGTCTGTCTTCAAATACTCCAACTTCTTCCTGACATTGCGCTGCAACAGGAACTTGGGGGCTGTGACAGGAAGCCAGTCGAACAGCGCCGGATAGCAGTCGAGTTGTGCGGCGGTGAGTGAGAGTTCAAAAAGGGTCATCTCGTTCCAGTTCTTCGTGGTGACTGGCATGACTTGTCCGCTCTTTGGCAGGGTGACAGAAGGCGTGTCAGAAGATGTGCTGCCGATAGGTGGGCGATCCCTGCTCATCAGTCGCATGGCGTCTAGAGCAATCCTTCTTAGCCGGTCTTGTCGCTTATCTTCACGCTTGCGTAACGCGCGCTGGACCTGCTGGGGTATCCGGCATGCCTCTGGAATAACGGGCGTGATGTACATAACGACGAGTGGCAACCACTCTCCAAGTAACAAGACCAAGAAGCCGAACGCTGGCAACCTCAAAGTGTCTAGCCTACTCCTTTGCACAATCTGCCATTCCGCCCTTGACAAAACCTCGGTTATATCTTTGTTGGGTGTTTGAGCGGCCTTTTGGCGCAGCGTCTTTGCAAGTTTGGATGTTTGCCGGACATGCGATATGCCCGTTTTGTAGAAAGTAAGGTATGCGCGACCGGCGCGATATAGCCACTTGACGACGTTCTGGTCCGGTGTTCGTGCGGGAACAGATATATCGGGGGCGTATGTAAACGGTGGTGGGTTCAGTTTCTCTTTCGCTCGCAGCGTGGGGACGGTTGTGGCTTTCGAGGTGGGTGTTTGCGCGGGAACAAGAGGGGAGGATTGAGGCTTCTTTGGAGAAGTTGTCTTCGCGGGTATATTCGTCTTGGTTGTTTTGGTGGGAGAAGGTGGCATGGCCCCGCCATATCCTGTGTTCTTCACCGGCGTTGCTGTGGATGGGCCATACGCCCTTCTTTGTGTCTCCCATCTCTGTGCAGGAATCCTCCTCTGTGTGGTATTCCTCGATGTATCATGCCACGTCTGACTTCCCAATGCCGACGCAATGGCACGCATGTGTACACCACGGCGGCATTGTGGGTTTGCGACGACACCATTCAATCGCGCCGGTACGACCAACATGGAAAACATCGGCAGTGGTTTCCTGGTCGGGTGGTTATGGACGTGACTGCGAGTGTTGAAGCAGCCGCTGAGCGAGGACTGCCTCTAGTGGTGACGTTTCTCATTCGCAGGGGAAGAAAAAACTGGGTCAAGCTGATCCCTGTCCGCGCGCCTCCGCCACGCGACACGATGTCATCACACCTCGTGTGTGCACTAACCCGACTTGGTAGACTAATGACCGTCGTGATTGCATGATGTACATTTCAAAGTCGTCGCTACTTTCTTGAGCAATACAGCGAAGTCTGAATGATTTGAAATGTCCTCTCTATGCCTTAGTGGACGCCACATTCCTTCGTCAAATCCACCACTGGCTGCGCCTGTCCATACCCATATCTACAGTAACGTAAAAAAGTTCCAAAGCGCCAACCAGCCTGTGATGAAATCTCCTTGCACATATGCGTAGCATCAATACTATGCGCCAAGTAACACCTCGCAGAACGCTAAATCAGATCAGACAAGGAAAAGAAACCCATACGTTAGGACCAAGGAAACTCGTAGAAGATACAGGAGCCGGGCATTGGCAGGCCAGAGAAATGAAAACGAAAAGGGGCAAAACATCGCAGTTAAGTATCGGATCGGGGCCTCATCCAGGTTTTAGGGCGCACGTCAAACCAGGGGATCGGCCGCTAGAAAACGTGTGAGTCGCGTGGGTAATGATCAAGTCGCCAGGGAATTGTCGCAAGGGTACTCCATGGTGTTGGTGCGCGGAATGAGGATGCGAGGGCCTTGGAGCTTCACCAGTTATGGCCAAAGCAGATAGCACGGGTCCAGAATGAGTTACTGTCTGTTCGATGAGCTGGCTCGTGGAAGATACATGGCTATGTGCAAGGGTTGGGTAAAGGGCGCAGTCGGGTTTGGTCGGTTGGATATACACCATGTCGATACATGTGCGGAGGGAGCGGTATACAGGATTTGGGCTATTGTAGTAATGTCGAGTTTATCTGTTGGAAAGGTTCGAGACAGCCGTGCTTGATGTCTAGGCTTCTGGATGTACGGAATGGAACTTTTAGCGTTGATATTGAGCCAGTTGGGCCATGATCTCAGACATATCCGGCGCGGGGCCAGCCTGAGTAGGTGTCTGCACTGGTGGAGCGACAGCCTGGCCCTGGTTGGCGAAAAGAGAAGCAAGCGCGGGGAACTGGTTGCCCAGCTGTGCGAGATGCGGCTGGGATTGGGCACTGAAGCCAGGTGTTTGCGCAGGGCTAGGCACTTGGGCTAGCAGGCGTGCAAGATCAGCATTCAATCCCTGGTTCGGCGCGGGTTGCGTATTCTGAGGCATATTATTGCCGGACATTGCGCCGAGGAGCTGAGACAAGCTCGCACCGTCGAGGGATGCAATGAGGTTCGAGATGTTCGGCTGACTGGTCGGCAGGGATGGGAAGGGGTTGTTTGGCTGGGGAAAGTGCGGAGGTAGGGTCTGAGCGAAGCCGTACGAGGATGATGGTGGCAGGACCGGGCGAGATTGGCTTTGTTTGGCATTATTGACGAGGAGGCCAGCAGTCGTGGGGTCAAGATCGGCATATTCTGGGCACATGAGTCAGTAATCGCGCATGTATATCATAAGCAATCGTACCGTTGAACTGGACGTTGTTCGCACCGCCACGTCGGTCGAATATCTGGACGCTAACTTTGCCCTTGGTAAGGCCGGTAGTATCAAGCCTCACAATGGCCAAAACTCCCTCAAGGATCTGTCTTCGAACTACAGCTGGTTCAGGGAACCGACCACTCAATATCAGGACATTACTACGGAGATTTTGCGAGCGGAAAGTATCCTCGACGTAGCGGATGAAGTCACTACCACTGGATCAGCGACCTTGATACGAAGCAATAGTTGTTCGATCCGAACTTACCGAGGGAGGCCTTCATTGAGCACAAGAATCTGGATGTCAGGCACCTCGTGGGGTAGTCGACGCCGCAGGTCCAATCCATCTTCTGTATAGTCGCGACGCGGAGACGGGCTTCTGTGCCTGCGTGGTGGTGTTCTGGACCGGCTACGGTATCGCGTATCAAACCTATCTCGGCTTCTGTCCCGCGAGCGTACGCCCCGAGGCGGGGCTCGCGGCGAAGGCGATCGCATGGGCCGATAATCGTCCCGATCACGAAAACGTCGATCCCTAGGCGACATGGAGTTTGGATGCCCTACATAACGATTGTCCCTAGGTGCTGGTCCTGTACCGCCCCGATTGTAATCTGGCGAACGTGAACGTCGACGCGGTGCTGGGTTCGGCGGCTCGATCTTCTTCGTGTTGCGCTGCGGCTTGGAGATTTCGAGGTCTGTCAGAGTTAGTCGACTGCCCAGCAGTGAAGTGATTGACCTGACATACGCATCTTCCTGCCGCGCACTGCCTGCCCTTGCTCGGCATCCAGAGCCCTGCGACATGATTCCGAGTCCAAGAACTGGACAAAGCCATATGCCTGTTTGATTGATATCTGCGCAAGCCTGCCGTGGCGGTAGAAACGGTGGAAGATGTCTCGCTTGGTAACTTTTTCGGTGGGGAGATTTCCTAAGAATCGGTTAGGCGCATCCTTGGTGCAAAAACAGGCTCAGCTCACCAATGAAGAGACGCGAACCCATGGGAAACTGGTCCCATTGCCCCTCCGTCACAAACTTCCTCTCCTGATCCAAAAACTCCTCGTATCTCCTGTTGACCTCGGGCGGCCACCGCTGGTCCTCATCGTCGGGCGTTTCGCTACGATCACCCGGCTGCTGCTGAGCCTGACTGGGCGTGGGAAAGTCCTGACTCTGCACATTCAAGGGCTGAAGAGAGCCATTGCCTCTCTGCTGCGCAATGGGAGCTTGCTGACTCTGTGGATGATAGGATCTGATGTCATCGCTGGGGTTATAGTTGGGGTGCGTAGCGGGCTGTTCTTGGGTGGGTGGTCGAGCAGGAAGATTGGTGGCCGAGGGCAACGACGAGGCATGGTGCTGTGTCTGCGGCGACTGGGAGGACATTTGTGCAGAGGCATATTGGGCTGCAGGCGCATTGTTGGCAGCAGGTGTCAGAGAGTCCAAGAGGGCTTGTACGTCAACATTGGAGCCAGTGTGCGCGTCAGTCTGGTAGTGAGCGCCTTGGGCAGACTGGGGAGGCGCTTGCTGAGCAGCATAGGCATGGTCATGGGGGTATGGGTACGCAGAAGAAAGACCTTGAGCAGCCGGCGGCGGCGCGTCAGTGGCCGACGCAGCGCGCGACTGGAGCTGTGCGGTGAAATTCTGCATTGAAGAGGTATCATGCGGCTGCGTACCCATGCTGCTGCCAAACGCAGCCGACTGCGCGAACGCCCCCGGCGCATCGTGCCCTGCCCCTTGTGCGCCTATACTCTGGAAGCTGGCGGTCGAAGACGGGTCGGCGAAGTACGGCGTCGACGTGTTCGCGGTCGCGTGGGAGCTGTGGGCGGGCGCGGCAGAGTCGTTGCTGTGGGAGACATGACTATAGTTCGCATCCATGTGCTCTACGAGGATGGGAATGTTGGCGGGCGACGGGACGTTTTGCGGGCGCGGGCTCTCGGGCGTCAGCGACTGGTGCCGTATGTGCTCAGCTTGTTGCGGCGGACTCGAGTTGGGTCTCATGTAGACTGCGGAGCCAGAGCGCAGAGCTGGCAGACAAGGCGTGGTGAAGGAGTCAACTCAAAGCATCTACGAAAACGCACCGTCGCGACAAGGGCTGGAGAGCTGCAGGTGGAGCACTAGGAGAAGACGAGCGGATGGCGGGGCTGGCTAGATGCTACCTAGGTATATGTGATGGATGAGGGCAGACGCGACAGCCACAGGCACAGAAGCGAGAGCGGGCCCCGTAAAAGTGGCAAGAGACGGTGGTGCAGTCAGGAAATATCTGGAAGAGAGATGTAGTGCAGCAGATGTTGGGATTCGGCGCCGCATCGACTCCGAGGAGCCTGGAATCGAGAACTTGTCTGGCTAAGCTTCGTACACGTGATGCGTTTTAGTCTGCTTCTAGCGTCCGTTTTATGGTTAAAATGGTCATGTTGACCCTAGCTCGAGCTATTGCGGTTGCGACATGATCTCATCTTGACAAAGGCCAACGTGAGCAATTTGCGCGACCGCTGCCCAGGTGATGCTGCGACGCTTCATTTTTCATTCGCCGGCGTCCCCTCCTGCCCCGTTGCCAGCGGTGCGCCGGATAATCCACTGTCGAGGCCATGGCAGCAGTGCCACTGGCGACGAGGTCCAGGCTGCACGCGCCTGGCTCGCGGAGCTCCATGCAGAGACGATCCCTTTCAAGAGCATTGGCGAATTGACCTTCAGCAGATCGTCAGGTCCGGGCGGCCAGAATGTAAACAAGTATGACACACTACACCACTTTTTAACACGGCGCTATACTAAACGGGCACCAAGAGTCAATTCTAAAGCTACGTTGAAGGTGCCTCTCGACGCGTTGCTGCACCACATCCCTGCAGCCCTACATGGCGAAATTAGACGTTCTCGCTACGTTGCTGCTAGATCCAATACCATCATAGTCCAGGCCGACGACAGTCGAAAGCAGAGCGACAATGCTCAGAGCTGCTACAGGCGCATATACGAGGCCATTGCCCGAGCCGGACAAGATGCTGTGCCCGCCGAGACGTCGGCAGCACAGGTGCAGCATGTCAAACAACTGTATGTCGTCGCACTTTCCGATAGCCCAGGCGACGGCCCGAAAGCTGATAAGACGCCAGACAAAAGTCAGATAACGAGCGCCGCCTCAAGAGCAAGAAGCAGCACAGCGCTAAGAAGACGTCGCGGCGAAGCCGGGGTGACGAGTGAAGCGGTCTGCGGGGAAGCGGCCTGCCACAGCACCATAGCTCAGCGCAACGTGCAGGTGACGTGGTTCTACCGTTGAATCGTAGTGCATCTCACGATAGTGCGAGCAGGACTGTAGCGGTGTAGTGTGTGGCGTGCCTTCCGATAAGAGATAGGAAGAATACTTGATGCACGAGTGCTCGGTACAATTAGTCTGCTGACCAAGTCCCTTGATCCTTCACGTTTGCGTGGCCGCACAAAGTTTCTGGAGCGTTTCATTCGCAGCCCAGTACTTGATGCCTGTCTGAGATAGCAACTTTGCTTCGTCTTTCTTCCCTTGCTTCCGCAGCAATTCGCCCAATCTAGCAACCTGGTCGCCGGATCCTTGACCGTCTTCCATCGTTCGCACATACTTGCGGAGTGCTGCACGCGATGCCTTCTGCAAGGACGAATCGCTATCCGCGAGTAACCGATGCAGAGATAACAGCTGTCGAACAGCGACTTCGGAGACGGTGGCAATCTCCTTGGGATGTTGCTGAACGGTAGAGCTTATCAAGTCCAGGGCCTTGCTCAATGCAAGGGCAATCTCTGGATCGCTTGGGTCGCAGCCAAATAGCAGCATGCGGAACCTGCAGATGGCAGTTTCTACGGCATGGGGAGAGTTCTCTTGCAGGTAATCTAGCACGTGCTGCATAATGCGTGGTATGCAGGCTAGCTGACTAAACTCGGCAAACATGTCGAAGAACTTCTCCGCGAGTTTGGGCTTGCCCTGGAACTGCTTCATGGCGGAGTCAAAGACTGCCAGTGAGATAGCACCAGTGAGCACTGGCGCAGACGCCAGGTTCTGCAGCGCCACCTCGTCCACACCATCGTCCTGCTTCAGGCTGGGATTTACGTCCTCTGCCGTCACTTCTGGAAGCGCAATCATGTCTTCGTCGCCGTCGTCGTCTGTGCCTGGCTTCTTTGTACGATCAATGTCCAGACCGAGAATCTTGCGCCGGCCAGCGATCTTGCCAACGTAGATGGTCTCCAGCTTCGCGTATTCCAGCCACATAACCTCCGAGTTCTTGCAGAAGCGTAGTCCTCGCTGCATGTAGCTTCGCGCATTCGTAATATCCGCCTGCGTATCCATGAAGTAGTTGGCCGCGAGGATCCATATGTCAGGCTTGGTGGGGTGGAGTCGAGCGACGGATGTGAAGATGTCGTTCAGCCGTTTGTATGCCTTGTCCTTGCGCGCAAAGTCGATGTACTGCATCCATAGCACCAGGTCGCCTGAGAACTTGCGCGTCGCCCGGTTGTAGAGGAAGTAAATGGTGCGCTGACCAGAGCCCTTGTACCGTACGCCCAGGCGCTTTATTCGTTTGCGGCGGAGGGCGTCGACGTTCTTCTCGAACTCAATGTATCGCATGTAGTCTTCGGGATGCGAGCCGCGTGCATTGATAATGTGCTCGAAATCCGAGCGCTTCTTCGCTATGGAGCTGATTTCTTCCTACGGCATGTTAGCGAAGCTGGCGTTGCGCGCATGGCGGCCTAGTATACCCGTGTGAAGATTTTCTTGCGCTCAAGCTCGTTCAGCTCGGTCGCCGACTGCTCGAGGTAGAAACGCGCCTTGTCACTGGGTCCGGCCATGTTTGCGCGTCCGAGGTGCTGCTGCTGGCAGAGTTGGGATAGAAAAGTTAACTTGTCTAGAAAAAAGTTAGGCTAAAGTTGCTCCCGCGGGTAGCGCCTTGGCCTACGGACCTCGGAAGCGCGAACCCTGGCCATTGCAACTTCAGGAGACGCGCGTGTTGGACTGCGCATCATCAATTCTCGACGCTCTTTTGCCGCTTTCTTCTCATTCAATGGTCCAGCGCTGCTGAAATCCTACCTGAATTCTCAACCATGGTCAAGGACAAGGACGGCGACACTGTCGCTACGGTACGCGCAGTCCGGCCTCACCCCCGAGAGCTCCGCATGCTCACCAGATGTAGTTCAATGGGAAATGGATATCGTATTCGCATACCGCCATGGCCTACTGTACGTTTCTATGTACTTGACGGATATCAACGGACTAACAAATACCCAAGGTGCCTTTGTCGGAGCCCTCGTAGTCGGAATGTACGCTTCTCACTCTCTACTACCCCACGACGCCGCTGAACACCCACAGATGGCTACACTACCACAAGATCGTGCAAAACGAGTTTTATGTTAGTCCGCTGGGATCACACCAGGCCTGGAGCCAACCATTGACGTGCCCAGGGTTACCCAGATGAATGGTTCCCATCCGTGTCTGCGACCATCGGCGACCGCTACCCTGAGCGTTCGGTCTTTATGCTCTTTATCGCTCTGACATCTGGTATGGATTGAGACACGGCGTACAAAGGAATATGCTGAACTCTACAGGTCCAAGATTCGCCCTCGTCGGCCTTTGGTACATCTTGACCCGCCGACCCAACTCGTCCCTCCCCAAGTTCATCGCTGGCGTTGGCATCTTTCGGACATTGACCTGTGGAGGATGGACATATGTGACTTCTACCGACGACCATGACTGGCACGACATTTTCATGATTTCATACCTTGTTGCGACGCTGCCGTGGACCCTGGGCTGTGTTGCTCTGAGCCCTAAGAACCCTACTGCCCTCAAGTACCGAAAGGTTCTTGCTGGCAGCTTCTTCGGAACTCTGGTGCCATTGATCTACTTCTTCATCCAGCACAAAGTGCACAGAGTGGCTGGAGGTAAGTTTGACAATTCCAATGTTTTGCTATCGCTAACGTCTTTGCAGCATATACCATCTACGCTTTCTTCGAATGGGCATTGGTCTTGCTCGATGTAGGCTTCGATGCCGTCACGATGATCGAGTTCCAACACTTGGAGGTTGTCATAAAGGATGTTCGAGGTGTATCTCGCCTGTACGTTCCTCGTCTCCCAATATAGATAGACACGCATCACGAATCTATACTTCTTATGGACACTTTCTGATAAGACATGTCTTGTAGTGCGGGCTTCAAGTCGACATCCGACAGTATCCAGGAGTAAGTCACTACTGCTTCCCGAGGCTCTGCGCGTCACTGACAGGAGCAGAAAAAACAAGGAAATGGGTGCGACCTTTTCAGGTGCCTTTTCTTGGTTCGGACTCATCTATGCTGCTGCAGACGTGTACAACGGCGTAAGTGGCATTGCGTGGTGTTATCGGACGTGACTAAACACTGTATAGTTTGTCTTCTGGTCCATGCTGACTTCACTCGGTGTCTGCGTCTGGTGTATGTTGGAAGTCTCCCGTGCGATCGTGATATCTGCTGATTATATTTAGACTTCCCTCTCTGGCACATGGGTATCTCTGGCTACGAGGCCTTGGTCATGTGCACCGTCACTCCCTTCTTCCTCGGCATCAAGCCCCTCCGCTATCTGGCTACTCGCTACGTCTGGTTCTTCCACCTGCTCTCGCTCTCCGGACTTCTCGCGTTTCTTGCCAAGACACCCGTCAACCGACTCTTTGCCGTTGGCTTCGGTCTGTCAATGTCATGTATCGCATGGTCTGCCACCTTCTATGCCGAACGGTCTCAACCCCACCGCCTTGAAGCACGCATTTCCGCTTTTGCTATTGGTCTGATCGCCTCTAGCATTGCGAAGTTTGCCTTTTGGACCAACAACCCGATTTGGCCAATCATGCACGAGGCAAACGGCGGATGGAACAAGACTGGTTTCGTAGTGGCTCTCATCTCGATGCTTATATCGACAAGATCTACCGCCAGTTCTGGCGCTGATGTGCCAGCTCAGGGCCCTACTAAGGGGTCTTCTGTCTTTGCGAGCTTTGGCCTGGCGGGTGTCATGTTCGCCATGCACTCGCTCCTCTCCGATTCGAGCACGATGATCTCTTGGGTATGGGAAGGCTACCCTGTTCGGGGTCCACTGGCTGTACCCCACGGCACCCTGACTCTCCTAGCCATGGGCCTGGGTCTTATGATTGGACTGTTTGCGCCCAACCTCTCGAGGTCATGGGCCTTTTACGGCATTGGCTCTATCGGTGCTGCCGTTCTGACAACCACCAGCCACTGGTCTGGTTTCTATGGAGCCTTGGTTCTCGCCATATACACTATGGCAGCAGCACCTGTTCTCATTGCCCATGCGGCGCGCCACTCACCAGGCCGCACATTCGGTCTCGGATTCTTGGTGTACAACTTCATGGTTCTGTTCCACGTCTGGGTAGTAGCGTACGCGTTCGTTCCCGGCGGACCGCTTGTTCGCGAGCACACAGACTGGGTTATGACAGCCATGATGCTTCAGATCGGTGCCGGTATCTTCAGTGTCTCCGCTCAGCCGCCAGCACTCAAGAGCTACAAGGGTAAGGCGGTCATCACGGCAGCTGCCACTAGGCAACGATCCTACTACCTCTACGTTCTAGGTGCTCTAGAGTTGATCGCCATTGCCACCGCCTACCTACGCTTCCCGTCTTACGACTACAAGCCGTATCACCCGGAGACCAAGTCCATCACGGCTGGCATCTGGACCATCCACTTCTCCCTTGACAATGACATGTGGTCCTCAGAGTACCGCATGCGCGACCTCATCAAGGAAATGGAAGTCGACGTCATCGGACTCCTCGAAAGCGATCTGCAGCGCATCATCATGGGCAACCGCGACACAACGCAGTTCCTCGCCGAAGATCTAGGCATGTACGTCGACTTCGGCCCAGGCCCCAACAAGCACACATGGGGCTCGGCACTGCTCTCCAAATTCCCCATCGTAAACTCAACCCATCATCTTCTCCCCTCGCCCGTTGGCGAGCTTGCCCCGGCCATCGAAGCTACCATCGACGCCTACGGTGAGATGATTGACATCTTCGTCTTCCACTCGGGCCAGGAAGAGGACCCCGAGGATCGCCGCCTACAATCAGAATACCTGGCTGAACGCATGAAAGCCACGCCCCGTCCCGCCATCCTCCTCTCGTATCTCGTCATCAAACCCGGCGAGGGCAACTACAACACGTATGTGGGGGAGAAGAGCGGTATGAAGGACATTGACCCGTCAGACTGGGACAGGTGGTGCGAGTACATTCTCTACAAGGGCCTGAAGAGGAGTGGATATGCCCGTGTTTCCAGACATACCATCACGGATACCGAACTCCAGGTAAGTTTTTCTTTTGGTTGTCTAGCGTCAGATCGGTGTGCTAACAATGTGATACAGGTCGGTAAATTCGTCGTTGGCGAGCCGGAGAACGGAAACGAGCTTCTGCATGAGTCGCAGGTTCCTGCTGGGTTGAGGTTCCCTGATCTGTTCAAGGGCCAGGGTGTCAGAGGGCATAGGTATCATGTCTTTAACGAGCCCAGATACTATGCTTGATCTGTGGGTATGGACCGGGGAGAGCAGGGGGGAAAGCAAGTCTATTGAATAGACAGGAAGTGTATGATAGGTTGAGGAAAAAGTGAATATAGTGTTGTTTCATTGCTGATGTTGATTCTTGGATACTACTCATTTCGCATTCACTACTTGTACAGCGTTTATGCGCTGTTGCCCAGGAACACAGACGGCCCTTTTTAGAGCCATGGTAGGACGCCAATACCCATGCATGCAGTGCGCGAGCCTTGCCCACGCCTGATTCGTAAAGCGCCAAATGCCGAACCCAGACTTTTCGATCATTCCTTCATCCCTTTCATGATCGTCATCGTGTCCCCCATCGTAGTCTCCCCGCCTCCCCAGAAGCTGTTAGCTTCCCCCCGTATTATGAAACGAATGAGTTGACCGGCTGTAAATGTCGCGCTCATTTCGCAACAGCGGCGCTCAGGACCTGTGTCCTGAAGAAGCCTCCCTTTGTCCTCTCGATGACTTGTTGGTAGACGGACTGTGGTGGGTGGTTCATGACGACTGTGCCGGCTTGGTAATCGATCTTTGCGTCTACGCGAGTGTCGCGGATGAGGTTGACGATCCACTTCTCACCCTCGTCTTGTGAAAGACCGAGGCGGGTCGAGAGATCCCTGATGGCGAATTAGTACGGTTTTGGAAGTGACAAGATTTGTAGAGTGACTTACTTGATGTCGATTCTCTGGTGGATCTTGCAGTAGCTCTCCGAGATGAGATGTCTCGCTGAGTCGACAAACAAGTCGGCGGCGCCCAACAAGAAGAAGTCGTTCTTCAGAATCTCCTCCGTCTCACTGAGCTTCTTCTGCGCCTCCTCAAAGTCAAAGTCGATGTAGAGAGCCTTGATGAAGTCGGTGACGGGGTCGTTGTACTCGTAGCCTTCTTGTCGCACGATCCTGATAAGATCCTTGAGCTGCTTCTGGTACTGGTTCGAGTTCCTGCCACGGTTGCGGCCGGTGATGACGGCAGCAGCGAGGTAGCGCAGAATCCACGGGCAGTTGGTCTGAATGGTGTTGATGTAGGCGGGGGAGAAGAACATGTCGGTGAGGGTTTCGCGCGAGGATTCGTGGTTGAAGAGGGGGAAGAGCGACCAGTGGATCAACCAGGTGCGGTGCTGGAGTTGTGCGAGGGGGTTGTTGAAGAGGCGTGTGTCGATGATCTCCTTGAGCTTGTTGATCTCCTCCATGGCCGAGTCCCAGTTGACGGACAGGATCTCGCAGGCGAGCTTTCCCCAGGTGGCTTCGCGCTCCTTGTCGCCATCGGTGGTCTGCTGACGTTAGTAACTAGTATGCCGCAGAGCTGCATAGAAACGTACCAGAACGCGGAAGCGGTAGAGCAGCTCGGCAGCATGTGGGTAGACACCGCAAGAGTACTGAAACTGGCCAAACTCGAGCAGCTGGTTGACCATGTCCATGTCGACGCCGTGGCTCTCCTTGAGGTATGCCAAGTTCTGCTGCTTGTCGCTGCGCAGGTTGGTGACGACGTTCTCGTCGTCGAGCAGGCCGCTGATCTTGCTGGTGGCCTCCTCGAGCTGGTCGCGCTTCTTGAGGACCTCGTCGCGCTTGGTCTTGAACTCGTCGGACATGTCGTCGAGGCCGTGGACTTCCTGGTGCAGCTGGCCGACGAAGTCGGTCATGTTGGTGGGCTTGAGCAGTTCGAGCAGCAGCTTCTTCTGCTCGACGGTCTGGTCGGCGTCTTCATCGCTGGAGAAGTTAAGGAGCGGGTAGACGAGATGGCGGTCGAGGTTGGGCATGAGCTTGGGGAGCAGCGAGTACTGCTCGGCGACATTTGCGCCGGTTGCCGTGGAGTCCGCCATGGTGGGTGGTTGTGGTTGTGGGAGGAGTTATGGCGATGTCGAGCGTGGTGGGGTGGGCTCGGAAACGAAAAAAGCAGCCGGACTGTGCGCGCGAGGGACCCCAGGCGCTACTTCTGGAGTTGAGCCGCAAACCATGGCCGCAGCATTCACCCCACGGCCCTCGCGACACATCCCTCGACCCTTGGACACGTGGTAGCATACTTTCACCGGCACCGCTGCATCACAATGCCTCGCTTGCAGTCTCTCGTCCCGCTCCTGCGCCCATTGGCCGCCCCAAGAGCCATCGCATGCCGGCCGCACCTCCGCTTCTCTACAGCGACAAGATGGCAGGCTGAGCGTAAGCTATGCATTCTCCTAGTACAACAGGTACACCAATTGACGCTTAGTAGAACCCCCGCCAGACTCCAAGCCCATCGTCCAGCCATCCCTCCCACCCAACGCTTCTTCTCAACACCCGACCTCACCCCAAGAAGCTCAACGCGCCGCCGACCTTGCCGCAGCAGAGTCTCTCACCGAAGGCGACAGCGCGCAACCACCCGAGCAGAAGCCGACACTGCCCTCAAAGCACCCCCGGTCCGACAACAAGCCAGAACAGACACCCGAGCAAGCGAAGCCCGCAAAGGCCGATGACGTCGCACCCAAGCCCTCGACCGCGCCCTCAGACACAGCCGACACAACATCGACGCTCCAGAAGAAGGTCGCTAAGAAGCCAAAGACACCGCGCACCCCCAAGTTGTCTCTTCCACCGCCCAAATACGCCGTCTCAAGATCTGCGAACAAGAACCTGCCCATCTACACCGACTACAAGCGAGGAGGCAACTTGCATCTGACGACGGTACGGAAGGTCACCGGCGACATATCTGCGTTGAGGGACGAGCTGAGAGTCTTCTTGAACAAGAAGAACGAGGATGTCAAGATCAACAGCGTGACACAACATGTCATTGTCAAGGGACATCACACTGCCGAGATTGCTACATTCCTGAAGGCGCGGGGCATGTAAACATGGGCAAGAGAGGGATTGTGTCGCGTGAAAAACGAGTGTATATATCATGTTGTAGTACAAACTGTACCATATGGGAAAGAGGGTAGATGAGTAACGTTGGCTATGATTGTTCAGTCAGTATAATGAACCATCTCCGTTGCATCGGCGGCATCAAGAGGCAGAAAACCAACTTGCTTGCACATCACCATCATGTTGTATTTTTGAGTCAGAAGTGTGAAGCCTGAGTTCCATTGCTACTATGGACGAGATCTAATCTATACCCCAAGCGTACTGGTAAAAGGCTTCCGAAATTCCCCTGCAATTCTTTCCATGTCTCAAGTACCGCGCAGAAGAGCTGTCTGGTAGAGGTCAGTTAAATTGTGTAGAGTGGGGGTGGAATCAGATCTTACCACGGAAATCGCGCTTCGCGACTAGTGAACCTGGACAGGCGATCAAGGAGGAGGGCAGCAAGTCCAGCACTGACCAAAGTAGCACTCCCAGCGGCATGGCTTGAAGTTTGTTGCGACGTTGGCGGATGATACCTCGCTGGAGTCGCTGGAGGCGCCGCCCATGTCGGGCATGCAGACCGCCCAGCACTGACCGAAATAGCACTCCCAGTGACACTTGATCTTAGCCCTTGAGACGGGGTCGTTGATCACAGTCTCCTTCTTCGCTTCTTCATCACAGACCAGGCCGCAGAGCGACTTATCTGTGTTGCAAATCTCGCGGCAGACCTTGTGTGGAATGTCGGGAATGTTCTCGATAGCGGTTTCGGTTCCAGCTACTGGCTCAAGAACGGTATCGGTCCAGCAACTATCAGAGGTCAAGTCGCAATGGTATAGGAAAGCATTTTCAACATGCTCGTTGTTCTCCAGCTGTGTATGGTTTGCAGTGACAGAGATGGACGTGTCGGCATGGAGCTCGGTCTCGTCGATGACAATCGCGCCGCTGGCTGCATAGGCAGCTACTCCAGCGACGTCGGTACACTGGCGGGTGCACGTTACATGGAAGCAGATCCAGACGCATTTCTGTGCAGCTTCTTCGCGCTTAGCCGCTGGAGCCACAGAAGTAGCAGAGATGTCAGCAACGACACCCTCCATGGTGGTGGGGTCTAATGCATCGACCTGCTGAGTCTTGTGGCAACTACGGCTGCACACGTTGCACTATGAGGCTGTCAGTTTATCTTCTCTCGTAATTAAGACGGCTATAAGAGGTTGTCGCGCCATCCAGAAGATGGCGCATCGGAATAGAGACTTACGTCGGGATCATTGCACCGTATTGGTAGACATTCTTCTTCGGTGAGGTTGTTTTGCTTGCAGAACAGGTTGATGTATATACATCGGTAGCAATTGGTGTCAGCGAAGACATCATCACCGGGAATGGCGAGTGAGTTGTCGCGCTTGGTTGCTGGAGCTACAGAAATAGAGACTCCATCGGAAGTGGCGATGGGTGAAGCAGAGGTCATTGCGACCAAGCTTATGAGGAGGAGAGCGAGCATCTTGAAGAGATTGAACACAGCCATGATGACGGTTGGAGCGGTGTTTTCTTGTGTGGGTTCAAGAGTAGGTGGGGAGGGGAGAAAGTATAGAAGAAATAAACAAAAGGGAAGCACAGGCCGGAGCGGATCAACGCAAACGGAGCGTGAGCGTGACTGAGGAAAGTGAGGTGAGGACCCGCCGAGGACAGAACGTGTTTGCTGTGGTCACTCGGTGCAGTGAGCCGGTGTGCGAGCGCGCGGGTGCGGTCTCGTAATTGGCCCAAGTACCCCCGTTCTAGGGTACTACTCGAGGCGTGGAACGCGGGGGTTCGAGAAGTGAAGGTGAAAGAGAATAACGAAGATAGACAGACCGGATAGAGCATACTTGCGTAAGGACTAATGGACTAACTAATGACTTGCAAGTTTCTCGCGCCTCCGGCTGCCTATCGATACATCGCTTCGGCTGTCAAATGATCATGGAACTGTTACGACTTAGTTCTAAGAAGCATTTCCATATTTTGTCGATAGCTGCCATGACTGTTGCATGTTCTTATCGCACTGCGACGTTGATCTGAGAAACGAGCGAATGTTGTTGGAAGTTGAGCCGCAGGGTTGGGCTTCATCGGCGCATCGTCACATGCACACTGGCTGGTTATTAGTAGTCTGGAGTATGACACTGCTACAAACAATACTTTGTACGTGTAGAACATACTCCAAGGTGCAGTCGCGGGTTACAATCACATGGCGAGCGGATCCTGACGCTCACGTTGCCGTTGCCGATGCTTCCACAATCGTACAAGCCAGCCTATTCACGCGACAGGACGCGTTTTAAGCGCCAAAGACCACACCTTGGGCTCTGCATTCCCGCAATGATCACATCCTGATGTGAAAATGTTCGTGTCTGATGCAACAGAGCTTCTCTTCACGCGAGCGCTCGTCTCTTCATCTGTTCTTGAAGGGTGGACGTTGGATTTACGTTTAGGCTGTGATCAGCCATGCCTACTTGAGCTGATCCGATGCTCTGGATCCATGTGGCAAGAGGCCCGCGGGGGGGTTATCCCCACTGACAAGCCACAGGGTGGTACTTAGCGCGAGGCAGTGGTAGGACCGACTGGTCCGCGGAGCATGCTTTCGCTGGACCAATCTCGCATCGAAGCATTCGTCTCAGTCCGTCGCATACTAGCCGTCGCAAGTTCCTGTCGGATATAAGTGGGTGTATCGATCGATTGTGTAAGGCTGCCCGCGTGGTGGCTCAGAAATGCCATCATGGTCCATGCGGTTTCGTAAAAACCGATCTTCCAAAGAGAATCCGATCCTTCCGCGCCCGTGTATGGTCTACTGCTGTGTGATCGATGAGCTGCATGCAGTCTTACGTAGACACGCAACGCGCTCGAAATCTTGCATAGCATATGCTATACTCGTATCACTGTATTCGACAGCCTTTCCTTTTTTTCCTGCTTCGTCCCTGACACGAAGTCCCTTGCGAACGTCTTTCCGTAGGTATTCTAAGTATACCTTGTTACGTTATTTTGACTGAACGTACCCAAACGAAGTTGCTCGCGTGGTTCTGCCGTCAGCCACAATGGACATCGATCATGAATTGACCGTCAGCAGATCCTTTGTAGACAGGAACGGTAGTGGAGCCTATCGGTATGTCTCTCGCCCGCCGTGTTCTGATGCGATGTATGCTAACACTCACAAAATAGAAGGGCGGTCACCAAACAAGGCTTTGTGGGCTTTTTACATGGTAATTCTGCAAATCGAATTCGGCCGTGTACGTGAATCGGGTTCTAGGAATGGGTGCGATCGCGACGGTTCAGTGTTCGTGTAGATGCTGCCGTTTCGTCAGTCGGCAGATCGCTTCTCGTAAGCCGTGGTACGCAGTCGGCGACTCTGGCGTTCGAAAGTGCTCGTAGGAACTTGGAAGCCTCGACGACAGCAGGTGTCTAGATCGCGCCGGTGAGGTCCGCAGATGAAGTACGGTACCAAATCTGTGACCGTAAGATGCAACAAAATATCAGCTGGACGGTGCCTGCGCTTGTGCAATGTGGCTGCGATGCCGGATTTCCAATATCATGCTCGATCTGAGCTGCCACCTTTGTGGCATCTCACCTTCTGCGCGCTCCATGATCCGGCTCTGGGGTTTTCAAGTCGATTCTGAGTGTGCGGGGACGCCTCTGCAAAAGCTCAATGGTACAGGGTCCTCTACCAAGGGATCCGCCCATATTTCAGGCATTCGGTTCACCATCGAGATTCGTACTATTCTCGGCCTGAGCAGCTCACGCTGAGCAGTGCTGATGTGGTGTCGCACGCTTTCACTGATCCCGGAACTTCTATCAGTCGGTCTTGGGTATATGGTCCGGCTGTACTCTCTCAGAAACTCGTTGGGTGCCGCGTCTGGCCCGGTGCTTGCGACAGTTGGTTATGGTAGGTACGGCTAAGCAGTGTTGCCAGCGGGCAGGGTATATGGATGGTCTCGGCTAAGACGGATTCGTGTGATCGGGGAGTTCGTGGGCGCACGCGTGGACGGCAAGACAGCACGAGCGTTGAGGATGGCAGCCTCGTCAGGGTGCGAAGGTTCTGGTTTCCAACGTCGAAACGAGGTTCTGAACTATGCTAATCTGAGCAACTCTTGGCGACGCAGTTGGAGAGGTAGGTCACCAGCCCCGATGCAGGTGCAGTCTGCGCTTGCTGTGGATCGTGACCGAGCACAGCTGAAGAGCGGCACTGGCAGTTCAAGAAATACAGCAGCCTTCGTGCTGGTGAGCTTCCTCAGGTAGCTATTTGAGCTGCTCAAGACCTCGATACGAATCAGTCTATTCGGACTAGGAGCATATCCGGCGGCCAGTTGTCAGAACATTTGACCGACAGACTGGTGGGACTGGGCTGGTGCTCGACATCTTTGGGCAGATGCGGCCCTGGGTACGGGGCACACAAGACACTGGGTGCATAGCAAAGCCTCAGCACCCGATGCCCACTTACCTAAGCACCTGGAGAGGGTTTGGGATCCGAGCGCCGCCCTTCTCCGGGCTCTGACTGGCTGCGGGATAAGATCCCGCGCCAACTTTCACCTAGCAAGGGCCACCAGCACTGAGCGGGTGAGGTCCAGTATCGAAGATTGGCCACGCCCGACAGTATTCATCGAGGCGGTCATGGGCTTTGCACGAATGCCGTATCTTCAGTACACAGTCTAGTCTATGAGCAACAGCGTGACGTTGCACCCCGATCCACCCAGCATCGACCGACGGACCGGCCATCGAACGTTTTCGACGGGTGAGTTATAGGCTCAACTCCCTTTTTCAGCGCGTCAGAGGGCAAAGCATATGCTCTGGCAAATGACTAATGTTATCAAGACTACGTCGGAGAGTTGACCAGCCTGCGACTCCGTAGCATATCTAGCCCACATCTGCCTCGCTTCCACGTGCCCTGCTTGAGCGCTCTTGATTTCTGTCCAAGATTGCCGAGAGGATCCTACAGATGTCACTGCTTCGGTAAAGGCTACGCGCAAACTCCAGAAGTCGTCCGAAGGGTCCCTGAGACGACACAATTACGTAGTCGTGGTACGCACTCCCGATAGTAGCCATTTTGTCGATTCATGACGAGCGCTATCGTCGAGGGATCGGGCTCGAGGCGAAGGGCACATCCCCACTAGCTAACACGGCGACAGGTACACTTCGATTCGAACCTTGGATTCGGATTTCCTATACATGGGGTAACTCCGGTTCCCAACCTACATATGAAACGTATTACTGACTTCATTCAGTAAATTCCGCTCTAGGAGCGGCTGGTAAGTGGATCCATGAGGTTGCGGCGACAAAGTCCGCTGATCTGCACAAGCCTTACATGTCGAGCGCGCCGCGTCAAATGTGAGTGTCCTGTTTCCAGGCACTCCTTCCCGTACTGATGGTCCACCCAGGTGACGAGACCCGTCCAGTATGCAAAGCATGCGGCAAGAAAAACCGTCCCTGTCAGTGGGAGGAGCCTCATACTAAGTTCAAGGACTACCGGCCTGACGGGCCCTCTTCCAGTCGATCTGCTGCCGGCGGCACTGATGAGGAAACCGAGACCAAGGAAGACATGATGGATGTTGACGGTGTCGATGGGGTCGATAACATCAGCCGAACAGAGGTAGCCGTTCGTGCAAACAGTTTCAGCGAGGAAGCCTTGAGCCGGAACACTTCACCGAGAAGGCGGAAAAACAGTCGGACCGATGGGACATCGGAAGGCCCATCGACCAGCGTCTCATCACCGTCGGCTCAGCTATCGCCAGGCTCGCCTTACTTTGTTCCCCGATCTAAGAGCACAACGGGCGGCGTGTCGGTGGCGAGTCTGCTGCAGTCGCACGACCCGGACGGCATGCCAGAGGGCTCGCTGCCGATGCATACCCGCCAGGCCATGCATCAGCCGAACGCGCATTCGCATAACCATAGAGACATGCCAGATGGAACTAGAAACTACTCACCCCGGCCTGTTCCTTTGACGCATGAAGAGGCCTTGCTCGTGCACCACTACACCGAACATCTAGGCCGCTGGCTTGACTGCACCGACGCCACTCGTCAATTCACGCTGGGCATACCGGAGAAGGTCAAGCAATGCCCAGTACTTTGCCATGCCGTCATGTCTTTTGCTGCTCGCCACTGCAGAAAAGACGCGACAGCCGAGGCGTCCTATCAGCGTTGCATCGCTCTGCTCATCGAACGATTGAATGAGCAAGCTGCTAGCCACGACGAAACGCTTTTGTGTGCTATTGTCATACTGCGATTCTACGAGCAGCTAAATGGTGCGTAATATTGTATGCATTGTGCCTCTCATGCCTAACCAGTGCTTCTAGTCCCGTCCAGTACTGGTTCCGATGACGAACAGCACCTCGCAGGTTGTTCGGCCATTATTCGATCTTCTCAGGGAAATCACTATGTAGATCCATCAGCGCCCACATTGCGCGAAGCTGCCTTTTGGGTATACGTCCGCCAGTGCCTCTACAATGCCACCATCAACCAGCAACCCCCTGACATCGATTTTTCTTTGCAGCTGCACCCGACCCCAAG